CAGGCCAAGCAGCATCAGAGGAGCAGGAAAGCTGACGTTTCGGGCTCCTGCTCCTCTGATGCTGCTTGGCCTGCTGTGTTCATCCAGCTCTACACCTTGTTATCATACAATTCTACAACCTTTTTGTGTCAGTATTCTTATTTTGGCTGAAGTATTTCACAAAATCTAATGCAATTAAGTAGAAACTCTATGCCATTGTGTATTTGCTGTTCACAGCAGCTTAGTAGTGTTTTGAGTGTGTCTGTAAAAGGTACACATGTCTGAAGCATAGGTCACAAGCAGTTTTCTGCAGCAGCAATTTTAACTTTCTTTTTCCCAACCCCAACTGAGGCAAATACTTTAGAACTATAGCGCCCTAATGTCGCTCAACAAGACTAAGATCAAACCTGATAAATTCAACATATAATTTGGGGAAAAGTAGTTTTGGTTGAACTATATTTACTTTTTTTCTAGTTTAAAATCATATTCTACTTACAAACTCAGTGAAAAATTGAATAAAAATATTGCTATAATCTGTTTTTTTGTGACAGGTGACATATGTCCTATTGTTTCTGATGCTTGCCAAGACAAACCTTGCCCAAATGACATGCATTGTGTTCAAGGAGGTGTAGGACAAGGACCATATACCTGTCAGTGTCCACCAGGAAATTTGGGAGAATGTTCAGGTAAGAAAGACAGAATAAAGATACCTCCTTGTACATCTCAGCTTAGAAAACATATCAACAGTTAATTCGCATATTTCAATACAGTTCATTAATAAAATGTAAAACCTCAATGTGCATTAGTTAAAATATAATCTTTGTCTGTTATGACCAGGTGAGGAGGGTCAACTTGGCTGTCTGCTCTTAGCTGCCCATCGTAAAACATTTTCATTCATTTTTAAAACACAGCTGTACCTTACCTGACTGAAAATATAGTTTGCTCGTTCACAAGAATCAAATAAGGAGCCAAATACAAGGTCTTGTATTAAAAGAAGACCAACTTTATTACTTGCCAACCTGGTGAAAAATAAAAAAGACACAACACCAAACACACACAAACACAGATATAAATTTAGAAAAGGAGAGTGCTAATACAAAAAGGAATATACAGTTTAAAAGCCTTTTGAGTGTCCTTGACGTATTTGGTTTTAATCTGAGACCGTGATTGTTTTATTGATGCCTTATATCCTTAGATCTTTTTTGAATTCTTGGTGAATGAATGTGTCTCCAATTTGCTTCATCTTTTGATTGTGCCCTTTGAGAGAGACTAAATAGGGAGAGAAAGAGGAAATTTTCTCCAGTTTCACCTACAAATTCATATATTTCTCTGTCGCTCAACCAAAGCAGCTATTTGAAATACAACTTACTGGTGTATTCCTATGCCTGGCTCATTACTTTTCAAGTTGGGTAATTTGGAGGTGTCACTGTTATCTCTACTATTATTACCATGTGTCATTTATCCATAAAAATGTAGATTGGACAGAAGAAGCTGCCTTTGTTTATCTCAGATTCATTTCACAATTGGGTTAAGTTATGGTCAGCTGATTGATGTGACCATTATAGGTCAGCGTCTTTCTTTTCAAAACTATTTTAGTCTATGAAGATTCCAGGTTTTAAATCAGTGATCTGTGATCACAACAGTGACACATCTATCTGAAAGACATTTTCCTATATTTCAAAGCTCGTACAAATCAGGTATGCAAAGATGGTATTAAGCTAGTTAGGAAGATTGATGGAATCTTGCTGTAGATTTTTCTGAATGGAGAACATCAAGAGTTAGGCCTGCTGAGGCTGAGACTGATTATCAACAGTAGTAATGGCTGAAATTACGGAATTGAAATGAAAGTGAAGAGATGATACATTGAATAAACAATGTCAATAATTGTGACCGGGCATTCACATGAAGGCAATGGTTGCACATCTAACAGAAATCTACTGGTGAGGCCACCTCCACTTGACAGACACCCCATCCAACGTATAACAGTCATTAAGCCATTAATTTGCTCAGGGCAAAATTGTGCTCCCATCAAAGTGCTCGTACTACATCTGCAGGAGGTATTGGACAATTAACTGTCTGGCTGTTCTCCAGACCTGACAGAGCCACCTGGAGTGAAGGTCACCAACGAGACAACAAGCAGTCCCTACTGCTGAGGGGCCAAGAGTCTGAACATAAAGTTAAATCCAGGGCCCTGTTGACTCCAGTATCGCTGAAAAGTTGACTTTGTCAGAGCGAGCAAATGGAAACACTTGTAGTGGGAGGGAGTATAGGAGACACCTACCTTTTGAGGAGTCTTAATTGAGCACAGCATTTCTCTAGCAGCTTAAACACTTAGCAACAGCACTGCCACTGAGATTAAAACCCAGTAGCAATGGGAGGAGGCCTTTAATTGGTCACTTAAGGATCTCAGTTGGCCCATAACTGAGTGGGTTATCTGGCTCCTCTGCCACAGATTTAGTCTGACTGACAACTGATCAATAACATGGTATTGCTGGCATAGCACCAAATTTTATTTCCCTTCCCTGTCAATCCACCCCTCAAGGCATCTAAATTTCTAACCTATTTATTAGCTTAATTGATTAAAGATGATATAATTCAAGAAATGGAAATGATCACTGTTAAATTCTGATGCTAATGCTGATAGAAGATCTGTCTCTCATGATAAATGGTACATTTTCCAATGTAAACTATAAAGTATAAATGATAACTAAAAATGCCCATTAGCTGAGAGACAATAAACTGATCACTGATTAGTATTGCAAGATTCAAATAAGTGCTTATTGCAACTCATGGTGAGTAGTTGGCCATGTGTCTATTTTATTTTGTATACAGTTGGTTCTGATATAACGTGAATGTACAAGGCATGATTAATAAGTTTGCGGATGACACTAAAATAGGCAGTGTCATGAACAGTGAGGAAGGTCATCAGAAATTGCAGCAGGATCTTGATCAGCTAGGGAAGTGGGCTGAGAAATGGCAAGTGAAGTTTAATATAGGTAAGTGTGAGGTGTTGCATTTTGGAAAGTCAAATCTAGGCAGGAGTTTCATGGTGAATGGTAGGGCTTTAAAGAGTGTAGTGGAAGAGAGAGACCTTGGAGTTCAGGTGCATGGATCTCTGAAAGTGGAGTCAGGTAGACAGAGCAGTGAAGGCGGCTTTTGGCGCACTGGCCTTCATCAGTCAGGATATTGAGTATAGAAATTGGGAAAATTGGGAAGTTGGTGAGGCCACACTTGGAGTATTGTTTTCAGTTTTGGTCACCTTGCTATAGGAAGGATGTTATTAAACTGGAAAGAATGCAGATAAAATTTACAAGGATCTTACCAGGACTCAAGGGACTGAATTATAGGGAGAGGTTGGACAAAGCTGGGACTTTTGTCTTTAGAGCATAGGAGACCGAGGGGGGATCTTATAGAAGTGTATAAGATCATGAGAGGCATGGATAGGGTGAATGCACTTAGTCTTTTTCCCAGGGTTGGGGAATCTAGGACTAGAGGGCATCAGTTTAAGGTAAGAGGGGAAAGAATACATGGGAACCTGAGGGGCAACTTTTTTACACAGAGGGTGGTATGTATATGGAATGAGCTGCCAGTGAAAGTGGTTGAGGCGGGTGCCTCAACGACATTTAAAGGGCATTTGGACAAATACATGGATAGGAAAGGTTTAGAAGCATATGGGCCAAGTGCAGGAGAATGGACATTTTGGTCAGCATGGACCAGTTTGGGCCAAAGGGCCTGTGTACGTGCTGTAGGACTCTGAGTTCCGCTCTCATGTTATAAGAAAATCGCAAAATAGCTGCGCCATTTAAACTAATGGGGCCGGAATCATGTTATAGCCAATATAGGTAAGGAATGTTTGCATTCTACAAATAGCGGTTTAAATTCTTCAATCGTGTTAAAGCCAATTCACATTGAAGAAACACACATTATAGCAGAACTGACTGCGTACATATGGGAACTTAAATTCTTGGTTGATATTATGTTTATTTGGTTGCAATAGCATCCTTGCATAAGCATGTCATGCTTCAAGTGGCCCCAGTTAAGAAGGGTTTAAAACCTTTGTGTCCTTTCGTCAAATGCCATAATATAGTGATATTATATGAGTTTGTCTCTTAACTCTATATTGTATACTAGCAGTAAGACATAACACACATCCTGCAACTGCCAAGGGTTACACTGTTCAGTTTGACCTACAGTCTAAGCAATAGAAACATTCAACTCCTTTATTTATCTAAAGACTTTAAATTTGTTTAAATTTAGGAAGGAGTATAATCCAAACATATCTAATATTGGAAGTAACTGCACAAAATTAAGGCACTCAAATGAAATAATTGGCTGTTGAGTTTTCAAATAATGTTTTGAACTCCATTCTGTTGAATTTGTCGTTATGTCTAGACGTACAGGACAATAGTTGTTCCTACTGGAGTCCTTGCTAACAGAGTTTTGAGTTACTTAATGCCAACACCGAGATCATGAGCAATTGTTGGCTGCCTTTTCTGTTGCTCGGTGTTGCTCTTTGACCATTCAAGTTGATGGTTCAGTGTGGTTGTCTAATTTGTTGATTTTGTGGTTATATTGTACAAATTGCTCTCGACAGCTGGAGTGAGAAATGCCTACTTTATTTCTGTGGGAGCAGAATGTTCATGGAAACAGACTGGTGCTTACAGAAAGAGGACCATTACGTACAAAATGAGGGGCAAGATAGAGAAAGGAGATTAGCAAGCAAAAAAAAATGAAACTAAGCTGCTATATTCTGAATTAAATACAACATGATTTTAATTTGCAAAGTTAGCTATTGCTAGTTTTGGTTTGTGACTTTAGATTTAACATATTGAAACCTTTTGACAAATAGCGTTTTTTTTTTAAATTGTACAATCGGGGCATTATACTGTTAGGTACAAAAGAAAAGTCAGAAAATATATAACATTTTCAGGATAATTTGTCTTGTCCCAGTGTAATATGAAAACAAGTTGTTCATGAGTGCAATTATCAAGTAATTATGTCTAACACTGGTAAAATGCTGTTTGAGGCTCAAGGTTGGCCACAAAAGTTCCAAAAATGTTGATATTCAAGTAACTTGGGAATTTTGAGCTTCAGGATATGTCTATCCGTTTGATCTACTTATCTCATTTTCTGTCTGTAAATGATCTATTAACTGTAATAACCCTGGTTGGCCTTAAGAAGACAGGACAGATTAGTTTTCCTTTGGCAGAATAACCGTCTGTGCTTTAAATGGAAAATGTCCCTTCTTTTATAAAGCAACCCATCAATATTTCTTTTCATTTCTGTTGAATTCTGCTTTCTTAAAATTATGTAGGTCATAAACCTCAAAAGTAAGATATTTGCTGACATTTGTTCTCTAAATTTAATAATAAATCAATATTTCAATGATAATTGATTATCATTTTTTGCCTACAAAAGTACTGTGTTCCAAAGTAATTTAATAGATTTTGATGTACTTTGGGATGTCCAGATGTGAAAGATGTTTTATAAATATAAGTTAACTCATATTCTAGCTTTATAATAAAAGTATTTGCATGTACTTAAATAAGTTAATTAATGGATTGGTCTAATCGGATCTAATGGTTAGGCGGATTGGCCATGCTAAATTGCCTGTAGTGTTCAGGGAGGTAGAGGGTGTATATTAGGTGGGTCATAGGGGGATGGATCTGGGTGGGATGCTCTGAGGTTCAGTGTGGACTTGTTGGGCCGAAGGACCTGTTTCCACACTGTAGGGATTCTAAATATATTATTTCTACAAAATGAATGAATTTGAGATATTAACCATTCTTAAAAATAAATATGTGAAATGACATTTTCTAATTAATGGATGTGATATAATAAATCCCATAAGTGAATGCCATCTTTTGAATTAGAGTTCAACATTTTCTGTTTCTATTTTCTCCTATCATTTTGTGTTAGTTTATCTTAAGGTTCATTAACAAATTTATGATTGTTTTTGATGACATATTTTCAGTTAATTTGTTCATAGGAAATTATGAACAAAATGGAAAGGTCAAAATCCATGCAAAAGAAAATTAAACATATGGAAAATAGTGTGAAAGCTAGCTTCTTTTCCAATATGACGTGGCTCTGATTTTTCTTGGTTTCTATTTAGTTTCATCACCCAATTAAACAAGAGTATCTGCGATTTTATGGTTGTCCTTTAATAGGTTCTAACTGTACCAGCATTCATATTAGCAGCATTTTGTGTAAGTATATCAAATTGCTCTAGGTTGTCAATGATTTGGTTGCAAGGTGCTTTAAAATAAAACTTGAAGAATAACATTTATAAATAGTGTTATATTTTGTTAAAAGTGCAAAGAAACCTAGTCACATTGTGTAATATAATGTAATATTACAATGCTTTCAAAATAAATGTGTCCATAAGTATTGTATGAGTGCAGTCTAATGTTTCCAAATGCTTTTACTTAATCCATTCAGGTCATGCATCCCTTAGCTTTGCTGGAAACAGCTACATTAAGTATCGGGTGGCAGAGAACAGTAAAAGAGATGAACTGAAATTGGGGCTGCATTTGAGAACACTGCAGAGTAATGGAATAATAATGTATGCTGAAGGAGATTATTGTGTCATCCTAAAGGTAAATTAACTTTATTAACACCAGTGCATTTAATGTTGTTTGTGATCATACAATATTTGGATAGTGTCCTAAATGTGATGGTTGCCTTTTGCATTTCAGTATTTAATTCCTTTCTTTAAGAGTTGATCCGATCTGTAACTCTCCTTATAAGACAGTGTGACTTGTTAAGTAGCTTGCCAGGTAATCAATTTCCAGGACTTTCCTACTTTTAAGCTGGCAGTTGTAATTTATACAGAAACAGCTCAAGTAGTTCTAGAGTCACAATTAATATAATCAAAGTACTCAGGTCTTCTGAGGAAGGGTCACCGGACCCGAAATGTTAACTCTGTTTTTCCTTCACAGATGCTGCCAGACCTGCTGAGCTTTTCCAGCAACTTCTGTTTTTGTTCCTGATTTACAGCATCCGCAGTTCTTTTAGTTTTTACTCTGTCTTCTGTTAATTTAAGATTTGAGAATTTAATTTTGTTAAAGGTAATGTACGAAAATATGATGCAAAATGTAAACATTCTCTAAGAACGTTAATGTGAGCAAGAATATAATTAACTTCTGCACTTTGCATGCATGCCAAATTAAAAATAGTTTCAGATCAGCTAACACTGTCTCTAAAAAAACTGACCACTCAAAAGGTAAAGGGCACACAGCTGAACAGATTTATGATATGGAACACATTCCAGTCCATACAAGATAAGCTAACACTTTAAAAGTCTACCACCCCATGCATTATATGCTAATACGGATCCTCGGGATGAACTCTTGAAACCTTTTACATCATTCAAATTGATGAACCATCCATCTTCGGTCTACCACTGCAGCAGATCTACATGTCATGATCCATGAAATCCAAAGATTTTAGATTTTCAAGTCTATTCATTACCTAACCAACCTTTACTTTTACATCTCTGTTTAGCTGCAAGGTGACTGAATATTGCACAAAAAAGATATCCGGATAAAATTCCTACCCTAGAAGAGCTTAATCCCAAGTTTTCAGGTGGCAAATGTCTTTCCAAGCTTAATGTCAAGAATGGGTATTTGTCCAAACATCTTACCCATAATAATAGGAACTGACAACTTTTAGAGAACTCTTCGGTAGATACTGTTCATTCAGATTACCATTTAGATTATCCATCAGACAGATGTATTCTAACAACAAATGCATCATATCATTAAAAATCTAGTGGGTTCTGTCTGTATCACAGATGACATTGAGTTCTTCAAAAAATTAACATGAGTGTGACACAAACCTCTATCAGCTCATGACAACAGGAGGATAGCGTTGTATTTTTTCAACAATAAAAAGTATTAAATCATAACAAGCAAAATTAATTTCTTCAGTTCAATCTACTTATCAATAGGTATTTGACCTGATCATATCAAAATAAAAAAAATGCAAAAGATGCCTACACAACAAGATGACTTACAAAGGTTTCTCACTTGCCTTAACTTTTTATCCCCATCTAATCCAAATTTTGCAACTAAGACACCTCCTTTTTGAGGTGTTCTTACAAAAACATTCCATGTAGAAGGAAGAGATAGTAAGAACTGCCGATGCTGGAGTCAGAGATAACAGGGTCCTGACCCGAAACGTCAACTTTCCTGCTCCTCTGATGCTGCCTAGCCGGCTGTGCTCCTCCAGTTCCACACAGTGCTACCCATGTGGAAGGAAGTCACCAGTATATTCAACAATCTCTCAAAACTGCTCTGTCAATCAGTAAGTGTATACTTCAATATTATGATCCCACCAAGCTCACCACATTTGAAGATAGATGCATCCCAAATGATGGGTCACTGGACTCAACATTAAATCTTGATTTACTGTCGGACCTAAGTTTCTCCAGCACTTTCTGTTTTTGTTTCAGACCTTGAAGCATGTCCACTACAGAACGGCAAGCCTCGTACATTTGATTCTAAAGTCCTTATGACAGCTCAGGCTACTCCAACATTTAAAGAGAAACTCTTGCTCTAGCTTTCAGGATGCAATAGTTTACCTGTCCAGTAAGCATTTTGTTATTCATACCAAACACAAGCCATTACAAATGATCTGTCAATAACCTCATTTGAGTGCACATCCATGTCTGCAGTGTCTGCTTATGAAGATTCAAGGATGCGGTATAGAAATACAATACCTACCAGGTCCCCAAATGACCATGTTGATGCTCTCAACTGGTAAGCCTCACTAAGAACAAAGACATTCCCTTGCACATACAAGTGAATATTATCAAATATAAATTAGAAGAAAATATTAGCATCAATTTTATACATTTTCTGACATGGGCAAGCAGATCAGATTCAGCAAACTACATCAGATGATGACCAGCCACAGCAGCTGAAGAAGATAATCAACAGGTGAACTGAACACATCCAAAAAGCCCCCGAACTATTATGTTGATACTGATCATTTGGAGATGAAGTAGGACTCTCTGTGCGTGTAATATTCAAGGGCAAGCAAGTTGTAATTCCACACACTCTACGCTAAGACCTCCTATACTATATAGATTCAGGTCACAGGCACATGAAGAGGGAATAAACAAGACTGGTGTGAATCCATATATTGGCCTGGCATTAGTACTAACCTCTATTAACCAATCAAGTCAAAACATATCAATTCCATCAACTGCAATAATTGAGAGAAGCTTTTCATCCACATGAGGTTCCTTTCGAACCCATGGTGCAAGGTACTGGCTGATATTCTCTATGTCAAGGACATTGTTACATTCTGGTAACTATTTCATCACATTTTCTTTTGCATGACAAGTTAAAAATATCACTTAGAGTCATAGAGTCATACAGTTATATACAGCCTGGAAACAGACCCTTCAGTCCAACTTGTCCATGCCAACCAGATATCATCAATTAATCTAGTCTCATTTGCAACATTTGGCCATATCCCTCTTAACCCTTCCTATTCATATATCCATCCAGATGTCTTTTAAATGTTGTATTTGTACCAACCTCCACCACTTCCTTTGGCAGCTCATTCCGTACACCTTCCACCCTCTGTGTGAAAAAGTTGCCTCTTAGGTCCCTTTCTAAATCTTTCCCCTCTCACTTTAAATCTATGCCCTCTAGTTTTGGATTCTCCCAATCCAGGGAAAATACATCATCTATTTATCCTATTCATGCCCCTCATGATATTATAAACACCTGTAATGTCACCCCTCAGCCTCTGATACTCCAGAGAAAATATTCCAGTCTGTTCAGCCTCTCCCTATAGCTCAAGCCCTCCAACCCTGGCAACATCCTCGAAATCTTTTCTGAACCCTTTCAAGTTTCACAATATCCTTCCTGGCCCTGGAGACTAGAATGCATTATTCCCAAATTGGCCTAACCAGTGTCCTGCACAGCTGCAACACGATTTCCCAACTCCCAACCTCAATGCACTGACCAATAAAGGCAAGCACCAAACGCCTTCTTCACTATCCCACATAACCTGCGACTCCCTACTTTCAAGGAACAATGAACCTGTACTCCAAGGTCTCTTTTTCAGCAACTGTTCACAGGGCCTTACCATTAAGTGTAGGCAATGGCCTAGTGGTATTATCGCTGGACTGTTAATCCAGAGACCCAGATAACGTTCTGGGGACCTGGGTTTGAATCCCGCCATGGCAGATGGTGGAATTTGAATTCAATGAAATATCTGGAATTAAGAGTCTAATGATGACCATGAATCCATTGCTGATTGTCGGAAAAACCCATTTGGTTCACTAACGTCCTTTATGGAGGGAAATTGCTATCCTTGCCTGGACTGGCCTACATGTGACTCCAGACCCACAGCAATGTGGTTAACTCTGGACTGCCCTCTGGGCAATTAGGGATGGGCAATAAATGCTGCCTAGCCAGTGATGCCCTCATCTCATTAATGAGTTTAAAAAAAAATATAAGTCCTGCCCTGCTTTGCCTTTCCAAAATGCTGCAACTCACATTTACTTAAACTAAAGTCTATCTCCCACTCCTCTGACCATTGGCCCATCTGATCAAGATCCCATTTTACTCTGAGGTAACTTTCTTCATTGTCTCCTACACCTCCAATTTTGGTGTCATCTGCAAACTTACTAAGCAGTGGACCCAGCACCAATCCTTGTAGCACACCACTGGTCACAGGTCTCCAGTCTGAAAAGAACCCCTCTGCTACAATCCTCTATCTTCTACCTTCGAGTCAGTTCTGTATCCAAATGGCCAGCTTTCCCTGTATTCCAAGTCTGACCTTGCTAAGCAGTTTACCATAAGGAACCGTGTTGAACACCTTACTGAAGTCCATATAGATCACAGCCACCACTCTGCCCTAATCTATCCTCTTTGTTACTTCTTCAAAAAAAAACAATTTAGTGAGACAGGATTTCCCACGCCCAAAGCATGTTGATTATCCCTAATCAGTCCTTGCCTTTCCAAATACATGTAAATCCTGTCCTTCAGGATTCCCTCCAACAACTTGCCCACCACTGATGTCAGGCTCACTGGTCTAATGCTTCCTGGCTTTTCCTTACCACCTTTCTTAAATAGTGGCACCACATTAACCAACCTCCAATCTTCTGGCACCTCACCTGTGACTATTGATGATATGAATATCTCAACAAGGAAAACCAGCAATCACTTCCCTAGCTCCCCACAGAGTTCTAGGGTACACCTGATCAGGTGCTGGGGATTTATCCACCTCTGTGTTTTAAGACATCCAGTACCACCTCTTTTCATGATGTCTCTATTTATTTTCCCACATTCTACATCTTCCATATCCTTCTCTACAGTAAACACTGATGCAAAATACTCGTTTAGTATCTACCCCACCTCCTACAGTTCCACACATAGATGGCCTTTCTGATCTTTAAGGGGCCATATTGTCTCCCCAGGTACCCTTTTGTCATTAATGTTTTTTGTAGAATCCCTTTGGATTCTCCTTAACCCTATTTGCCAAAGCTATCTTGTGTCCCCTTTTTGGCCTCCTGATTTCCCTCTTAAGTATACTCCTACTGCCATTATACTCTTCTAAGAATTCACTTGATCTCTGC